GAATGGAATGAATGGATGGATGGATGGATGGATGGATGGATGGATGGATGGATGGATGGAATGGAATGGAATGGAATGAATGGATGGAATGGATGTATGGATGGATGGATGGATGGATGGATGGATGATGGATGGATGGATGGATGGAATGAATGGATGGATGGATGGATGGATGGATATTTTTATACACAATCCAATGGAGTAACTCTGGGACTCGGTAACACAGGAAACTAGCACCCCAAATGATCCTCACATGTGTGTCATATAGACTTACAGAAGCTGCAGGTCCAGCAAAGGCCAAACTCAGCAGCATCAACAGAGGGATGAGCTCATCGCCTGTCTCCACATAGGGCATGGAGAGGTCGCGGTCATGGCAACGGAAGCCCACCATCGCCGGGGACAAAACATCTGTCAGCTCCAGGAAGTAAAGGGACACCAAGGAGGATAGGACGATGGGGAGCTGGATATGCATGCACGCACACAAACACACACACACACACACAAATGCGACCAAGGACATAGCAAAGAGTGACTCGCAGATAATATTTGCTTGGAAAAAAGTGATTCATCCAATGTTTCATCTTCAGTACAAACAAATACACACTTTCAAACACATACAAAAGGGCAAGTTATACCCGTCTTGCTTGCTTTACAACAGATGTCAGATGCCTCCAAATGCAATCAACACAAGGCACTCACTACTGGTATCATTGTACAGAAAAAGGAATGATTCAGTAGGGACTAATTCAATAAATGCAGTGAGAAATGTCAAACAAGCATCTGTATTTTAAAAAGGTGACTCATTCATGCATCTGATCTAGCGACACATACCTCTACAAAATAAAAGCATGGCAACAGTGTCATGCTGTCTTTTGGTGGTTTCTTCTTGGCTTTGTTTTTGGGGGATGTCATCTTGGGATGGGACCAGTCACAGCCTGTTGGGATAACAGATTACAAAGAGATGTCAGAGTGGAGTTTCAGAGCAGGTTCATGGATTTCCACCATCAATCATCAATCTAAAGCTTCAAAAAGATGTTTCAAAAGTCTGCCAGGCCCTGACTTATGAATGAAACAGCAGGTCAAAAAGTTGTCAAAGGCTGGTTGGTGCTGCAAAGTTTTCTGTATGAACTAGAAAGCATTAGAGTGTTAGAGTAATAATAAAACTAATAAAAAACACAGACATTAAAGGTATTCTATGCAATTATGGTATAACGTTGCTTTAGTCTAATTCAGTCAAATTTTTTGCACACTTAATATCCAAAGTTGTTACTTTGACTTTGTCTGAACACACGTTGTAAATGGGCTGGTTCTTATATAGTGCTTTTTTTAAAAATCAAAACAACAGTCGCCTCAAGGCACTTTATATTGTAAGGTAAAGATCTTACAGTAATAGAGAAAACCCCAACAATCTGACCACTCCATATGAGCAAGCACTTGTTGACAGTGGGAAGGAAAAACTCCCTTCCCAGCGTCAGGAAGAAACCTCAGACAGAACCAGGCTCAGGGAGGGGTGGCCATCTGGCTCGACCAGTTGCAGGAGGAAGGCAAGACAAAACAGACACTGTGCAAGAGAGCCAGAGCTTAATAATACCTAATGATTAAATGCAAGGGGGCGTGTGTTCACATACACACGAGCACTTTTTTTCTATGCTGAAGTGTTTTCTGTCTAACACTTACACACCAATGGATACATCAGGAATAACTTGGGGTTCAGCATCTTGCCTAAAGGTACTTTGGCAGACAGGAGCAGCCAGGGTTTGAACCACCGATCTTCTGATTAGCATGACTGTTATCCCTCCTTAGCTGCAGCCACCCAAAAATGCAGGGAGACAACAAAACACACAAGACTGTCATATTTTGAAAAGTGTTTTTTATGTCACTAGGAAAATAAACAAATGGGGGAAAAGAATTAGAAATAATTAGAATGAATTGATTAACTGAAAAAAGCCTCTCCTAAAAGAAGCCCAGTTACCATTTACTCAGGTGCTTAGTATTTAGAATAATTCTACATACCTGTTACATTTCAAATTAATCTTCCCCCACAAAATTATAGACGTGCATATATAGAGATATCTCCTTCCATCAGTAACCTGCAGGCAGTCAAAAGGCGTCAGAGACAAGCCAACGCCAAAGGCAGGAATGGAAAACTAAACAGAGTTAAATATTCACAGCTCTCTCTACAGAACCCCATTCCCCCCCGATAAGAGCCTGTCCCCTCTTTCTCTGCCCTCTACCCAATTCTCCCTTTCCCTCCCTCTCAATCTTCCCTCTCTCCTGGCTCTGCTTGTCCCATTTTGCTTATCTCTCCTTTTCAATCGGTTTCATTTCCCTACCACATTACTAACACTTTCCTCTTGACCTCTTTTCTTTGTGAGTAGTTCTTTTTATACCAACATTCCTGTTCCTATATGTTACTTTGCCTTTGTTTTATCCATATTTATCTTCATTACAATCCATGCACTAACTAATATGATGAATGTGGAGATTTGGCCTGTGGCTACTTGCTCAGTGGCCCCATATGCAAATCTACTGCACCTTGTGTCAAAGGCCTGCTGACCCAACTGAATGGATTTATGCTTTCCCAAATGAGTTTCAGTGGAGCGCTTTGGTCTTTAATGAAGGTATGAACATTTTGTACTTGTAATATCCTTCTTCGTCACAGAAATAGTCCACTTTAAAAGAGAAGGCCCAAAGGTTTTTGTGAAGCTTGAATCCAAAAATACCATCCACATCACCCTTCAACAAACTCACGTTTTCTGAAAGCTGTCATGGCCTCTGTAAGTCTTTCTACCTCTGTCACCTTCTACATCTCAGTACTTCTGCTGAGCTCTTGTTTGTTTCTGTCTTGCTGGTCTCTCTTGTATCATTTCTCAGCATATCCCCATCTCTGCCTTTTCACCCTTCATTTCACGTTTCACCACCTGTCCCTCTTTCTGCACACCTCTCTCGTGCCCATTTTTAATCTCCTCCCTCTTTTATTTTTTTCTGTTTCTCTCGAAACAGAGGAGGGGGGGGGGCTGACCCTGAGGCAATGTAAGGCGCCAAGAATCAAAGACTTCCACAGTCTAATTTCCATGACCGCTAGAAATGTATTGGAAACGAGAGAAGAGGACAAGATAAGCACAGATCAAAGAAAAAAAACATTTCAAAAAAAGCCAAATGTGTGTGTGTGTCTCTGTGTGTGAGTGTGTGTATTTGTATGTCTGGTGGTGAGGGTAGGAAGGGGGTGAAGATCATAGAAGGGGGGGATATTGGGATGGATGGATTTCAGTGTCGCTAAAAGCAGCTTAGGAAGACGCTGGGGTCTGGGTCTCACTCGCCCAGCAGCTTGGTCTCAGTGACCTACTCCAGTCAGCACTTAAACCGCACCCCAACTCACATTACACACACAAACATGCACTGAATGAGCTTCTTGACTGAAGAAATGGGGGTCGTTTATCTATTACACCAGCATTCGTCCTCTGAGGCGCATCTTTTATGTGTGTGTG